TGGGCTGATCCTGGTGTTGAAACACATGTCGCTTACGCACCAACAGTACTCAATACTGCATTACATTATGTTTCCGTATCGAAAAATGCAGCTCAAGCAATGGCAAATGCTGATGGTAAAAATAAACATTATTATTTACCAATTGTCGGTATATTAGCTGGTGCTCGTTGGGGAATTCCAGTAGAAACATATAAAGATAATATTAATGATGCACAATTAATAACTCTTCGTGAGACATGTACTAAACTAAGTACTACTTGGAAACAAAAACTTGATCAACCATATAATTGAAAAATGAATAAATACATAGATATTGAATAACCATACAAGATAGACTATAAATGACTATGCGATCAAATATTTTCTATTGTGGTTCAAGCAAACAAGCTAATTATTATCAACCATACAGATGTATTCAAAATTTTCTCTCACATAAAGAATAATAGAAACAATTAATAGTAATTTGCAGTATTATCATTGGATTCACTAAAGAAATGTACAGCATTGTCAATTTAAAATAATACTGGTCTAGACTAAAGGAGAATTAAATAGAATTTGTTTTCGAAACTATTTTTTAATTTCACCTTATGTTACAAAAACATAGCATGTACCTTGTTTTTTGATTATCTAGATTATTCATTTTTACTTATTCATATGGTAATGTATAGACATATAACTTCTGCGTCAATATCGAAAAATGTTATTGGAAAGTATGTTAACGTATGCACGAATTGACTTTTCATATTTCTGATGTATCTAATTGCGAGCAAAAACATTTCTTATTCTACCACTTGGAATATATATGGTACAAATCTTTCATATTTTTCGTTGTAACATAACAAAACGTAACAACAGAATATATATTTTAAATATCATAGACGAACCAAACTAAATTAGAAGACAATTAGAAAACTATGAAAATTCTATTCAAAGAGCATAAGCTTAAATATTCTTTCTTTTCTGTTTTGGCCGGAACTTGCTAAAATGAACTAGATTTCAATTAAAAACACAACCGAACTGTACAACTTCCTAGGCTACAATTCCAGTTAAATATAGCTTAATATAAATATCTATAAGATCAGTTCTTTATTCTCATTTTTTTCGATTTTCGTAATTTTAAAGACTTGGAAAAATTGCTCAATTTTTCGCCTAAATGTAAACTTCACCTGCCACAGATATTTTCATATTGCATCAAACATTATTATTATTAAAAATAAACAACATTTTTTTGCTTTGGGTCTCCATGCAAGAAAGCTCCTCTTCCATAGTTTTTTGAACTCACATCAATATTGACGAGATTGACAAAACTTTGACATGAGCTTCGATATCATATTATAATCCACAGAAATATTTCAATTGAAGTATACGTAACCTATGTTCAACGTTCATGCCCGATGCTTTCATTATAACAGAAATACTCAATTTGTTTAGACAAAGAAAATATTGAACAAATAAAAACTAATCATATTAACGAGAGAGAATGATATTATTATTGACACAATGCATCAACAGAAACCATAAATGAGTTTGTTTTCAAAATGTCTTGAATCTATTAGAGATTACAATACTTAAAACCATGATTTAATATCCAACGACACTTCATCGTTAACGATGCTCTACCATGTTGCTTTCAACACTGTATTCTCATGTGATTACAATCGGACAAAAACTGATCGTAGTTTTATTCATAAACAGTTAGCTATTCTTTCATCGCCATTCTACCGCAGTATAACCATGGTAGTACGAACAAATGTGCAACATAGGTTTTTACACAAATACTACTATATCTCTTTTGACAATTGTTCATAAACAAGAAAGTTGCAGATCAATCTACTTTGATCTTGCTTTAGAAATTTTCATAGAAGAAATCTGTAAATTATTCGGTATCGTTCTTGATTGATTCTAGATCACTCGCTTTAATACTATGGCCTCTTTTCAAAGACTCATGTAGACACAAGTAACAGTTTACGCATCTTTTCAATCTAAGTATAAATTAATCAAACCTAGCTTTCCGTAAGTATTTATGTTTTTGAGTTGTTTTCGAAGAAACTCGAAAGAGGTAGTAATGATGTTCGAACCCCAATTCATTTTTTATTTAATGCTAAAAACGTTGATTGTTGTTAAAACAACAACTGCAGAAAAGAAAAAACCAACTAATCAGTTTTTTTTCATCGACTTCATTCGTTCTGTTTGCTAAAAGGAGTTTTTAATGTTTTTCTTTTTTCCTTTTTGTGATCGATGCACATGCAGTTCTTTTCTTTTTCTTTAAAGTAACATTATTTTCGTCATTCATTTTCTCTCATTCCATTTTTGCTGGGACATACTAGATTTTTTCAAATAATGATGAATATATCTACACGTTGTCAAGGAGCTTTTATTGGACATGCTATTGCATCACAATATGATCCATCGACATTAATGGCATTAAATGTTAGTGAAAGTCTTCTTGAATGTCAAAAATTTGATGGACCAGATATTTTATCAAGACATCTTTATTTATATCATACAAAAAAATGTGAAATTGGTGAAATAACAAAATTTATTTATCAGGAATTAATAAAACGTAATGGTTCACAATCGACTCTTACTCTTGAAAATTTTCGTTTTGATCAATCAATGATTGATGAAATTGTTAAATTAGCTGATGAAAAATTCGATGGTCATACAGCTGCTTGTAGCCCAGCACAACGTTCATATCCACTTGCTTTTTGTCAATATATCTCAGATGATGATTTATTTGATTTCACTATGCTCGAAGCCAAATTAACTCATTATAGTCCAATTGCAGGTCAAGTAGCTGGTATTATAAATCTNAACTTTTTCTTTCGCCGAAAAGTTCACCCCTGGTCCTCCTGAGGAAGAGATCAAAAAATAAAGTCAGTCAAAAAGTCACTTGGACAACGGAAATCGAGTTCAGAACTTCTAAAATGCTAGTAGAACATGAAATGGCAAATGAATAAACAATAAAAACGGAGTTTTGGCTGCCTTCATTTTTGACCTACCCCTCATGGGGACCAGGGGTGAATTTTTCGACGAAAAAAAAAGTTCGTGAAAGGATTCGAAACATACGTGGTTCGACTCAGTTTTTGATGCAGATTCTGAATATGTAAAAAAATCAATAGACTGTTATGGCAGTTTTCAGAAATCCATCATGGTTTTTCAGGAATTCTCTAAAAAACCGATCTTCGAATTTTTTCTCAGAAAAGATTTTGCTTATGAAAATATGCTCATAGGTCTTGGCTATCCAACACTGAAAACCGCAGGTCTCTATCTTGTTTCTATCAAAAGTTATTCAAAAAACATCCGACTGCCTTGAATTCTGGCGCCGACAGTAGTTTAAACAAATTTAAAGATCTATCTAGTATGATTTTGTAATTATTTTTATAGGATTTCATCGAAAAAGCATAAAGTTGATAATTCAATATCAAACATCAGTTTCAGAAGAAGAAATTTATGGTTTTCTATATGAAGAAAATTTAATTACTAAGAAATCCATATTAATCTCGTCTCATATTAAATCTCAATATTTATAATTGTGATGAAATTTATTAACTTTTGTAATAACTTCAAACATTGACGTCTTCTATGAATCATTATTATGAAATAAAATGATATTTAAAAACAAACTCTAGATTACGTCGTAACATTCTCATATTTACATTCAGATCATTAATTAAAAAAGACAATTCCAACATTATTGAAATCATTGAACCGATAAGTGAATAACTTCATCATGGATCAAATGATAGAAATCATAATAATGTAATATGACTGTCGATTTTTCCAATCGTAGAAAGATGAGTTCAACAACCTTCAAGTCATCATTATAATAATAAAAGTTAAAATGATGTTGTCTAAAATATTCAAAGAATAATTTTTAATTAATACATAAATTTATAGATATCAAACAGCTTCATCCAATATTGGATAAATTCATCAAAAAATGAATATTAAAAACGCTGTTGAAATCATTTCATTAGTCTTCTTTTTAAAAAACATTATTCCGGAGCTTGTTTTTAATAGTTGAGACTGAATCGGAGTTAATCGACACTCGACACATATTTTCAGAGTCGTAGTAGAATTTTTAAATTTTTATTTTATATGAAAAAGTACACTATTTATTTTCTTCAATAAACCGAAAGAAAAAAGAAGAGATCATCTCAAACTCCATAAGAAAAAGCAAATAAATCAAGTCATTCAAAATTCACTTCATGTCTTTCTACTTCTAAAATCCGGTTGATTTTACTAAGTATACATTTGCTTGTTGCTAATGACGATGGAAGAGAACACAATGCTGATACCAAACATCATAATTATGGATACATACCATGAAGACCTTTTCCACCACGATGATAACGGATGGACCAGAATAAATCTTCTTGTTTTGAAGCTTATTTTTTCATCCTCTAATATGTTTTATTAAAAAGCAAACTATACCATGAGATACAACGTGAAAAGTTCTACAATGCAAAACTTATTCTATGTATGCACCTATAGTTTTCAAAATAGATTAAAATTCTGTGGAACCCAAATTTTGATGGTGCGAAAAAATTCTTTTTTGGTACACGACGAATTCCTTTTCTTATCTCATTAATTAATGAATCATAGTTTTTAACTTTATTCCATTGACCACTTGTCATAGATCTTCAGATTTTATTTCTTTTTATTAACTAACACACTGATATAGACATGCGATTTGTCATATGAAATTTGTATGTGTCTCTAACAAATAACTTCAGACCGAAAAATATATGATCGAAATACATACCGATTTGCCTCAAATCGACGATCAATTATGGCCTTTGACGTCATTCATTAATCGAACAAAATAAGAAAAGAAATTCGTCGTATGTTCAAAAAACAAAAATTACGTTTTTGTACAATGGAAATTTGATCACAGAATTTTAGTCTATTTTGAAAAATAAAGCTTCATATATAAAATAAAATTTGTATAATAGATTATGGAGCGATTCATGCTGCATCTTGTAGTATATTTGGTTTTTAATAAAACTGATTAAATGATGAAAAAATAAAATACAAAACGCGGCCACCTATTTCGGCTCATCCATTACATACATGTTCAACTTTTTGGTAACTCATTTTTCTTTTCACATGCTCAGTTACTTCGTCATATGATTCATCATCATTTGCAGATGAATATTCATTAAAAATGAATTCTTGTAGTAAAATAATATTACTTTCTACTTCTGTGACCTGTTCTCAAGTGTAATAAATTGTTCAGATTTTTACTCCTATGCTGTTATATAAATTGGGAGTTTGAAACAGTGAAATTCTGTTGATTATAAATCATATGAATAATAGATTGAAACCAAGGCTTTCAAATGAATGTTCATAGTTATCGTACATAACTGTACAAATCGAGCTTTATTCTTAATAAAAGACCCATTGAATAATTATCTATTAATCAAAAACTAACTACTACATATAAAGTCTTTTTTATAGCCATATACTTAGTATCACGAAAACGTTCTACTCTGTAGTTCCTTTATCCGCATTATTCGAGTTAATGAAATTCACAATTTAAAATCAAATATTTTTTTTATAGATGAATCATCACGATTATGTTCACATGTGAACTCTAGTATCAGTATTCTAAATAATCTTTGAAGTTCATATTATATCATATCATAAGAAAAAATCCAGTGAGAAAAATATATATTCAATGTCTGTTTAAATATTTTATTATTCGACGTGAAAATGTCATAGAAAATAAACATATAAAATTTTGTTATAAATTATTACAATCATTATTATATTTATGTATTTATTATTTTATCTTAATTAATAAAATCAGATTTTTTTATTTCTCGCGTTCTTGTATATATACAAACAACAATATTTAAAAAAGATATTTCTTATTCTTATTATTTTTTTTGTTTCGGTTTCATTTCTTCAAAACATTGTCTTAAAAATATTATATTCTTTTTTGTTTGTATATTTCCTTCATGTCCTTTATGCCAATCGTAGGAACTTGCATAACTAAATAATTGTCCACGACTATCAAATGCACAACATGTTATTGATTGATCATTAATAACATCACTTGTTTTTAATTTTGTTCGTTCATCCTTATCCCAAAAACTATATCGACCATCACTACCAACCGTAGCTAATGTACCATGCATAGGATGAAAAGCAATATCATTAACAGAAAATATATCTTGAGCGGCAGCAGTGGCTGTAGGATTTGAACGATGACATTTAAATGTAAAATTATCAGCACCTGGATTTGGTGTATCAACATACATTATGGCAACACGTCCTTCAATTGAACCAACAGCAAATCCATTTGGATTTCGAGATTTATCTGTAAAAATTGATATACAACGATGTTGATACTTAAGTAATGATTCTATTTTTTTATATTCAGTTGGTCCTTGATCAAGTGAATAAACCTGTATGGCGCGATCAGCTGTGGTTATAACAGCCATTGGACCAAAGACATCGGCCGCATATATACGTTCAGAAAATATTAATTGTTTTAATGGTGCTGCTTGACGTGTATCCCAAAATTTCACTAGATAGAAAAAAATGAATTTTTTTTTCTTTCAAAGGGTAATTGTAAAAACTACAGAAACTCAGGAATAGTGCCCATCGGGTTAGTTCCGAATCCGTTCTGGTCTAGGACCGAAAATGTTGAACTCAACGAATTCTAGTCTTATAATAAATGCGCACGGTGTGCTAGTGGCTGAATACAAAAAATTGGAAAAAAGTGTCTTGTATCTTCGAGGAAATTATCCAATTCCGATTAGAAAAATTTCATTGAGAATATCAAAATACAATCGACTAGATTTGAGTTCGCAAAAATTTTTTGACTCAACGAACTCTACTCTCAGATACCGTCAAAGCTGAAAAAACGAGAAAGAGTTCGTTCGAAACCAATATCATACAGGTTTCCATTCTGAGTTGTGCTTTTTGTTTTCAATTGGAATATAGGATTTTCTTAAGGACACGGACATTTATAGTTACTTTAATTTTACATTATACAAATTATTTTAAAAATAAATATCAACGTACCTATTGTTATCATCTACAATTAAAACCAAAGTAACCATAGGTGTCCGTCTGATATTTGTTTCGAACTAGATCTCTTTTTTGCAGTTTTGAGAATGTCTGCAGTGTATACAGGTATCCTGTTTTAAATATAAATATGAATAAATTTTCTTACCAGTTCGATCCCAACTTCCAGTCATAACACATGAATAAGATGGTCTCTGAATATAATTTATAGTTCGTATTGGTTGATCATGTGCTGCTATTTGAACAAATGTATTGGATTGTAAATCCCACATTTTAGCGGTTTTATCACAACTAGCTGTAAATACTTTAGTGCCATCGTCTGACCAACAACAACTTAATATAGGTGCATCATGTTTTTGCATTGCTTTAGCAATAGATTGTCCATTAGATTGAATTTCCCAACAACGAATGTCATTTGCCCATGAACTTGCTATTAAATATGTTTGTGGAATTGTTGCTGGAGAAAATTTCATACATGATATAGCATCATCGGGTGGTTGAACAATTTCAACATCCTTTTGAGTTGTTGTTGTTGATGAAAGACCGAACATTATTCTAAATCTAAAACAATGAAAGATCTTTTGAAGAGGGAAATTTATGTCTCCATAAATTCCAAACAAGCCAGGGATTTCTTTGATTAATATGTTTATTTGTTAAGTCAAAATCAATATTTTTTATACGTTTTAAATAATCATAAATAACAATCATGGGTAAAAATAAACTACGATTATGATTGTTTATTGAAGAAAAACTATTTCGCTTTTGAAAATTTTTATCTTGTTCAAATAATTCAAGTGTTTTTTGTAAATGAAACCAAGATCGATTACATAATTGATATATTACATGACGACATTGTTCATTAGCAAATTGACCATTAAATAGATCTTGTTGAGAGACATTGTTTTGAATAAGATAGGAAAGAGGAATAAAACAACGACGTTTATGAGAATTATATGGAATACCACGGACAATGTTAATTAGACCTTGCGAACGGCCTAAAAGAAAAAAAAAGTTAGATTAATAATTTATTCAATGAAAAGAATGTTCTTAGTGGAATCTCTGTACGATTCAAAATATGATCCATGATAAAGCTACTATTGTTAATCAGAAGAAGATACTTTAACTATATTTATTTTCTAGACATTTTTAAATTCGTGATTTATACACTGATTCGATTGAATATTTTGTGTTATTCTTTATTTTGTTTGATTCAGCAATCAAATTATATCAATGTAATTTCTGTCAAAGTCTATGCTGAGAAAGAGTTACATCCAAATTATTACCTTTCTACTTCAATACTCTTGTTCGATTGTATTTCAAAATTTTATTCATATACTTAAAATGAATATTTCTAAGATCATGAATTGAAACGATTCATTTAGTTCATGATTTCAGTTTGAACAATTTTGCTGTGGGATTCTCTGACGAATTTATTATTTGTCTGGGGATCGAAAATTTCGGAGATCTTCAAACTAAGAAGATTCATTAAAGAATTTCTTTCAACATTTGACTTTCCAATGTTCTTGATCGAAATTGGATCTCTTCAAATGCTTGTGCTCTCTATTGTCATGATCCTTTCTTTAAAGAATATCTCAATGCCGTTTAAAGTGAAACAAAACGTATTTTTGTAATTTTTGCTTGGAATCACCATAATGCCGGTGGTATTTTTTTTTCATAACTCTACTTTATCAAGTAATTTTTTAAATAAGTTTATCTATTAGACTTTATGATTAATAACTATTTTTCGGGAATTGACTTTTAGCTATGGTGAAAAGATATTTTTTGAATATATTCGTATCCATTGCATATCAGTTTTGTTTGTATTTATAGAAAGTTATATTTGTTCTATACGTATTAAAATTTTGTATTTTATGTAATTCTCAATTTTGAGATTATCTAGTAAATCAAAGAAAAAATTTCTATAATACTTCAAGTTATAAATTTAATTACTGCTTATGTAAATTAATAAAGATTTATTTGAATCTCAAGTGAAAAAAGAAAAGATACTAATATGGCTTATTTAAACAGATTGAGAATGTGAAATCGAGAAAAACACGATCCTTAACTTGTGTATGTGCCCTTATGTTTCATGATGATAAAATTTGTAGGAAAATTGACCATGAAAATAATCTTTATTTCTCGTTAATTCATACCTAAATGCGAAGCAATATGATCAACATTTAATGATCTTTGTTTTGCTAATTCAAGTAAAAGATAATAAGTAGGTGTAATTGATTGTTCAACATAATTTTCTAATTGTTCAATATCTTGAAATGGCATGTCATTTAATGTTGTTTCTCGACTTTTAATTAATCGATGAAACCATAATTTTGATAATTGATTATGTTTTATAACTAAATCAATTTCACGTGCAACAGGATGATTAATTTTTTTTATTGCATTTGTATTTAATGATGAATAAATTGCATCAATAGTTTCATGCCAAAATTGAAGTCTCATTTGTCCTATTTGAGTATTTGATACATGATCACGTATTGAAGCAAGTTCAACATTTAATGCTCGTATAGCCATTGCTGGACGTTGAAGTAATGATGGCCTTAATAAACCGGTACATATGAAATTTTCATAATCAACTTTTCGTACACTATTTATACAATAAGTATAATCATCAACTGGTTTTGGAGATGTTTTTGTTGTTGAAGAAGCAAAACGAATAGATCGCAAGATCATCTTGTTGCTGTTGATCGCCTAGTTTAGGAAAATATAAATCATCTAAAATGAGAGATCAAATTTTAAAATGTTCCTTTTGTTCCAATTCATCATACTTCCAGCTAAATATGTAAATTTCAATATTTATAATAACAATAAATCATTTTGTCTTTACAAAATCAAATCGAATCAATGAAGTTGTAAAAAAAACTGAACTCATAAAGTAGGAGAGTCCTTACTTTACCCTAATTCGGCATTTTCTTTCCTTTTCTTTGATTGGCAGCTACTAAACCAAACGTATCATGGAGAAAATGGCTAGTAAGTAATGATCTTTCTTTCTTTCTTTCTTTTCAATGGATTGTGTGTACGTCCACAAATACTGAAATTTAATATGGCGGCGCCACAGACGAGCTCAGCTCTCGTCTCCTATTCTGGATAATGCTTGAATGTATACTAGGCGCTTGTGCGACCACCATTAAGCATATTTTTCGTACGCTAAGCGACTCATTATGCTCTCAGAGATAAAAAAAATAGTGGTGTCCATTAAGCCTTCCTCCTCTAGAATATCTAATATTTCCATGAAATATCGAAGCTGAGTTTTTATCATAGAATAATGCATGAAGATTTACTCCTTTAGAATATAAATGACTTTTCGTCGAACCAACTTGTTTTGACAAACTTATCGGAAAGAGGAAACTTGGATCCTACTATTATGTTTTCCGAAGAGTTTTTTGTAGTTTTTAATGTTTTTCAGTTTTGGAAAGACAGCGTTGCCATATGCAATAGTTTCGAGTAAAATATTTTGATAAAAATTAATATGGAAATTCTGTTATGAAATAGACTTTTTACATACGTTGTATTTATTAGGACTGTTAAATTATACTACATAGGCAATGATACATTTATTTTTAACCTATAGTGCGCCAATCAACTGATTTGATTAAATGGAGAAAGAAATTTGACATTTGTTGAGTTATGTTTGAGGCACATATCAAGTGATTTCAAATTGTAGTGTAGCATTTGAAAGATATTTCTGTGCATCAACGAACATTGTTTAAGTATTCAATGGCAAAGATGAAGAAGTGATACGGATTTCAAATAATCACCTTGAACAAATCTCAGTTAGCTCAGTGGCGACAAGAATAACTCGGTAAAATGATTTCATATAGAACATCAAATGGAGAAAGATCATTGATGATTAAAATCGAAAACTCACGCATGTGTTTTGAACCAAGCGACACAGAATGTCGAACATAACTTCTTAAGACAAGTCACATTCAATGAAATTCGGTTTTGTCAATAAGACCTTTGGTCGATTAATAGACGCGACTGACCATGAATGAGCTGTTAGATTAGAAAATAAGATTAGATAAGTCTATTAGATCAAACGTATTGTCATCATCAAATAGCTCGAGTGCTAAATGACTTGATTGAGTGCAATTCGTTGAGAGATAAGTTCAAAATGATTTCGACGCTTCTAGTTAGCAGTGACTGTGCAACGAACATAGTTGAGCAGTTTAGTGTCTACATAGTTAACAATGTTTTCGAAAAAAGTTAGAAGACCTTAATAAGCTGAGCAATAATTGAATATTTTGTGGATAAGGCTGTCAGAAGACTTGTCTTGTAGGTATTTTTTCATAGTAGAAAGCAGAGACATATTGAATTTGATCACGATTTGGATGTGGAATGAATCACTCATTGTGCAACGATGATGAAATACTTTCTAAAAGTTTTTTCTAATAGAGTGGTTGTCCATTTTCCAAAGGAAAAAGAATGAAACACAAGAACGAAAAAAGTAACAAGTAACTATTCACTGTCAATCCAATTTATGAATGATGGCATGAGGCGAAAGGAAAGAGCAAAGTAAATAGTAAATCAGGCTATACAATAAGAAATGCGTGTGAAGTACGTCATATGTTCTCTTTCCTTCATAGCATACACGACTCATGTATATTGCCACATCAAAACGTATTCGCATCTGTATTGGCTACGAGAAAACATTGATCTTTACTTAGTAATAATACATATACGTTTTTTTCTTATTATTTCATGACAACTGTTGTTGTTTTTTTTCAATACTTGTGGGAAGTATTGAAACATAAATATTTTATTATTGTGGCCGGTCTTCGAATAAATCGTTTGCTTCGTTCAACATCATATCGAGTCTCGTACAAACGGCTTCTTCTTCATGATCTATCTAAATTCGAACGAGCCGAATTTTGGCCCTATGCGGAACATTTTTGTGGAAAGAAAGGCGTCAACCCAAAGAATGACGATGCATTTCATGTAGCTTGGCTACATCATGTAGCTCATAATGATCATCACTGCGAACACTTCATTGCAAATTATTCACAAATAGCTAAACAAGTACGAAATCATTCAGAATTAGCCCAACATTTCATAAGAGAAATGCCTGACGATGCTCTTCTCGAAATGGTTGTTGATAATGTGGCTGCTTCTCGATCGTATGAAGGATATTGGCCTAACGGAGCGAAAAAAGACGGATGGACATGGATGACCAAGTGGTTCGACCACTACATTCTTCATCAAATAACTCGTATTAAATTTGGCGCTCTCTTGTGTGCTCTCGGTTATGCTCAAATTTTACCAAATGAATTCGATTGCACACAAATCTACCGATCAGATATTTCCTCTGATGATCAAATGAAGCTTGCACAACTCGAGACATTGGCAAAGATGAATAATAGACATGCATTTTTTCAAAAGACACAATAAAGGAACAAATTCATAATGGTGCGATTGAAGTGCTGATTCCTAGTTAGAAGAAGACATGTAATCAAAGAAACATCGTTCAAAAAAAGAAACTCTTCAATCTCAACGGTTTGTAATTGAAGAGAAAAATGTATTTTTTTCATATGTAGTAAATCCATTTTCAATGCTATTAAGCCTAGAATGAAAAGTGTTTCAGCTCGTTACAAGGTGAACTCTTGTTTTAACAAAAAAAGAACAGTGCGAATTTTTACACTTTCAGAAGCATAATATAAAAATGTACGAACAGTTTGTGATTTACGTTCAGATGAAGAATATCGACTATATGTGCCTCGTCAGACAAAAAGGATTTGCACATGTATCGGAAAAAATTAATAAAGTCGCACATTTCTTTGTTTTCGATCGAACCGTGCATCGACTACGTGGGTCGATCAAATGAGCAAGAAAGAAATGGCGAGAAAAAACAACAGAGAAAAATATTAAGAATTATGTGTTTTCCTCTATACATCAGCGAGCGTGCCTACAAATGAATTGAACAACAGCGACATCGACTTGGCCAAAGTTTTCTAGTATTTTTATGGATCGTTTATTTCCTATAATACATTTAAATCCGTTTCAATATGAAGCGAGTTATTCTTTGACAAACTGAAGTATGTATTGTCAACAGAATACTTATAATTTGCAACGTCCGAAAGTCTTATCTTTTGGGTTTGTTGCAATAAGGGCTTTTTTAGAGTGAAGCAATTATAACACCAAGTTAAATCAAAATAATTCACACGGTTGGATCTTGACACATCTGAATCGTTTAAACAGCAATGTGCCTGCGCCGAAAACTATGTTTCAAACATTTTTAGACCAACTGCAATGAGTTGATGTTTTTGTTTTAAAATAATATAAGTAGAGAACGTCAGTAAATGATAAAAGTGAACACGCAAAAAACTCTGGCAAGATCTTGTTTAGCTCGTGCATTTATCTCACTCTTTGCTATCTTTTCTACGATGTCTTGGTTATTGATAGACAAAAATTCTACATGTTTTTGCAAGCATTTCATCGACTTATCCAATGAACGATCGTCAATAGATTTGAATGGGATCAGTGATACAACATAAGATGGTCGCTGCTTATGTTATCTTCGAATAGCTTTGATTGCATGATATATTTTTGGTTCATAAAACCGGCTTTTCAACGGAAATGACCCCTTCTATCATTTTTGTTCTGGTGAATCGACGACCAGACGACCGACAACAATCACTTTCTTTCTAGTAGAACCTGTTACAATTCGAAATGAGTGAAAAGAATACTGATTCATAGATTATTCTTCCGAGACTAGCATCAAAGTGTTTCATTTCAAATAACTAAGAAGATACAATTTGTCCAATTTTCTAAATGAATCGTTTTCGTTGAAATGTGACGTCATTTTGAAGTAAGTTGGTGTGACAAATAGGTTCTGCTTGTCTTTATGGTAATAAGCCTACACATACAAATAAAATTAATGTTTCTCGCCTAGTGAAACATCTTGTAAGCAAGATCTTGGTCAAGATACAAGGTACAAAAATGTTAACATATCTTGACAAAATAGGTGCAAGAGAATCACATTATCTTGTACCAAGATCTTGAATTAGATCTTTGGGACAGATTTGCTAGATCTTGGTAACAGATATTCAAGATCTTTAGTTTAATATCTTATTTTATAGTCTTTATTTAATGCTTAGCAATATCCATTTGAACGATTCGTGTACGCTTAGTTTCCATTAAAATAGTACAACAACAAAAAAGCACGACGAGCGCACAGGAAATACTTTAATTTGTATGTACAATTATTACCAGTTGAACAATATAAGTTTTTACAAAAATTGACGCGAAGTAAAATTTACAACCAAAAAGTACTGTTTTTCTGTTCTTATTAATGTTTGTGTTCAATTTTTTTCTAATGATTAAATATTATGTTCCTAACTGTTTTCTTGGTGACCTTTATTATTAGCTGTTGGAGAATGTATAATGATTGTTACTGATGATGTTATCATTAAAAAATGATCTGCATTTAACGGTATCTGATATTTTTGGTAAAATAAAATCGATGATTATGTACATAAGAAATCTTCATCTAATAAATTTAAAACTTATAATTATATATAAATCTAGAACAGAAAGAACTTCAACATTTTTTATGTCTACACTGCTTAGAAAAATTATTGTAATAAAATTACCGTAAAAATTAATATTAAAGAATATCACACTAAAACTAAAACTTATAAATTTTTTATTTGATCGTTTTTTGAAAGAATCCTACCTTCATAAAATTTGGATCGTAAAAAAATCGAATGTCGTAATCTAACATCACTTATTGTATGATAAAACATCAGTCTTTCATAAATCTACACTGATTGAGTCGAAAAACTTTGTCTAACTTTCTATTTCTTCTCTCATTGTTCTGTATAACTTGAATTTCATTGGTTGACAAGTACCCCTAATGTTGCAAAATTACTAAACAGCTGACGATAAAATACGTAAAATACTATAAAAAAAGGGATAAAAATTGAAAATATAGTTTCCCACCATTGAAACGAAAAAAAAGACGAGCCAAAAAAGACAATAATATAGCGTTTCGAAAACAGTTATACTGGATTAAAATGTACGTATCAGCTTCATTCTTTTTGTGAAAAAGTGACCGAACGTTTAAATAGTCTTGTCTAAGTTTTCTTGTCGACGTCGATAGAGATAGAAATGCACCTATTGCTCACCACTCATTCTTTGTGATTAGAATCTGCGTCGTGTGTTTTGAGTGAAAAAACACAAAAAATAATCATATTGTCATTGATTGCGTCTGTCAAAGCATATTTCTTTGTCGTTGACGATGCAGTGAATGACGTTTTTGTTCTCTGTCTTCAGCTCGTTGCGGAAAGCGAAAATGGCTTTAAGTATTCTGCTGTTTTTCAATTCATCATTGACAATGCAGCAGTATGTTGCTTAAGCATATACGTCAGCATGAGTTGCTAATGGAAGTGTGAATGATTATTGAAGTATCGTTAACCTTGCTTACTTTGTGCTGTACATATAAAAAACATTCCATGCGAGAGAAATTCTGGTAATTGTGCATAATAGAAATCAGAGTGTTTGATCACTGCTGAATTAAGCTCGGCAAATAATCAAAGTTGATGGTTCTATGTGTTTATTGGATAGCATTTACGAAGAGGACACATAGCTGACATAGTAGTGATATGTACAGACTTTATCCCCATTAGATTTTCGCATATGAGTAATCTGATTTTGAATCTTTCTACATTACGATGTATTTATCACGAATGATCGTCGCTTTCGATTATTAACTTGTTAACTATGTTTCTTTGTTGTCTTCTTTTATAGAGTTCTATCCTCTAACGTGAATCTTTTGCAAGAAACAACAATAACAATTTGATTGGGCAATATATCTCTCAGAATCGATCAGACACAATTGCTTGTAGCTGTCGCAAGATCCGTTGATATCCTATTCGTACTTACAATTCGATTGCATTATTTTATATTGGATACACGGGTATGTAGAACTCTGATATTCTCCGGCTGTTATACTTTGAATGAGAAAATACAGATAAAACATGAAAAAAGATCAACTATTTTGTGCAGCTATTGAAACTATTACTGTCTTCTCTCCCAAAGTGATGCAATGAATGATAGATTCTTTTTTTCTTTCTGTGCAATACATTATAAATAAGCTGATCGATATTGTTAGATCATGCACATAGAGCGATAATCTGAGACGAAAAAGAAACATAACATCTTCTCTTCTAGTCTTATTGTCGTAGAGCATCTGCCAGGATAGCAGAAGGTGCTTGGTTCGAGTCCCGCGAGAAGCACATCTTTTTCGTTCTGTCACTGTATCATCTCCTTTTTTCGATCTTTTATCTAACTGGTATACCTAATGCGTTGTCTAATGGCCAATCCCTGTGCTAGATAAGTTGTTAATCTTTTGCATGAATTGACAATGCAANTAATTTTACTATATAAATATAATACGATAAATAAATCTTGACTTAAACTAGCTCTCTATGTTGCTCTTAATATAACTTAGTTTGAAAACATTGAAGGATTTTTTGAAATTCAAAAGAAGTTGTCGCTAAAATTTTCCATTGGAATATGTAGAAAAATATCTAAGAAAGTATAGCATGCTATGAAAATCATTATGAATAGTGGTAATGAAAAAAGTCATTGGTCACTTATATAGCATCTGCTGTTTCTGTTTTTGATTAATCCACAAAACCATTGAGAAATCCAGATTAACTAGTGAAAGAGACATTTGTTATGTTCTACGATGAAAACGCAGTCTTTGGTAGTAATGAAGATTTCTTCTAAATCGATTTCAAGTATTTTCAATCTTGATTGTGTTTTATACATAGAGGTATGAAACAATAGTTGGAGAATATGGTATTCAATTGAGTGGTGGTGAAAAGCAAAGAGTGGCATTGGCTCGAGCTCTGGTTAAACAACCAGCTTTACTGATATTGGATGAAGCAACAAGTGCACTTGACAGTACCAGTGAAAAAATTGTTCAAGATGCTCTTGCAAGAGCATCCAGAGGTAAGAATGTCTATAGATGTGTGATTGGCATTCAAAGTATTAGTCAATAGATCGTACAACCATCGTTATTGCCCATCGCTTACAAACAATTCAAAATGCTCATCGTATTTACGTGTTAGATGATGGAAGAGTGATCGAGCAAGGTACACATCAGACATTGATGTCACAAGAAGGAAGCACATATAGAGCAGCTGTGAATGCTCAACATATAGCAATGGTGGAAGACAACGACGATGACAAAATGAGTATGAAACGAACTGAAGAAGAAGAAGCCGAACAAAGGACATGTATGTAGATGTTCTATTATCAAGATGTATTTATCGTATTATATTTATATAGTAAAATTATGTTGTATTTTAGACAATAATCAGCATATCGATGAAAACGAAGTATGAATATGCTAATAGAACTATTTTGGAGCTGTGGGGATAAATTATTTGTTTCTAGAAGAACTTATCTATTTCAATTAAACAATCCATCTTCCTAAGACTATTGCAAATGAACCGTCCAGAATGGATCATGATTATGATGGGATGCATAGCATGTATTTCTAGTGGAGTCACTCTGCCTATCTCTGCCATTTTATTGTCAAAAACTGTTGATGCAAGTCATTATTCGCATAATTTTGCAGAAGAATTGATGCATTTATAAAATTCTCTAGGCACTTTACAAATATACGTATGTAGAACGCCACCAACATATGTTCACGTATGCTGTTCTGCTGTGGATCATGGGTGTTATAGTTTTTGCTATTAAAGCATTTCAGGCAGGAATACCATTGATGAATTCAAATGTTATATTGATGTCTTTTCCTTTCACAGTACACTTCTTTTGCCCTAGCTGGTTCAAAGTTAACACAACGTCTTCGTGCTAAGGCTTTCGCATGTCTTCTTCGTCAAGAAGTGGCTTTTTTTGATCTACCAGAAAACAGTTCTGGTGCTATTTGTACTCGGCTCTCATCAGATGCATTAGCAATTCAGCAGCTGTGTGTTACACGATTGGCTTTCATCTGTGACCTTCTTGCTTTGCTTATTTGTGGGCTTGCATTAGGCTTTTGGCTCAGTTGGCAATTGTTTCTAATTGCTTATGCTGCGATTATGATTATCTTCGTTCTCAGTTTTTTGGAAATACGTGCCCAAACAAAACTTAATGATCGCGTCGGGATCATTCTTGAACAAGCTGGCTCGGTTTGATCAGAGACGATTTTATCTATACAATCTCATTATTTTTCGTTATCTAGCTCGTTGTTGAAGCCCTTCGTAATATGCGCACGGTGAAACAGTTAAACATTGAAAAAGAGCTCATGAAAAAATATACTCATTTAATCTATCGAGATTTCAGGTTAGTAGAGGGATCAACATTCGTATGTACATCGAGAATTTAGCAAGTACTTTTGTTTAGAGCTCGCCGAAATGCTTTATTCATGTCGGCATTCATATCAGGAATCTTAGGAGCTATGAATGCATTTATCATAGCTTTTATCTATTGGCGTGGTCTCGTTCTGGTTGAACGCAAAGAATTGGATGGTAGCCATATGATTACGTAAGTAAAGAAGACTGTACTAAGTGACAAAAATTCATCTGTCATTAGGATATTTGGCCTAGTTATTATTATCGCTGAATTCTCAACAATTATAATAAACATGTAAGTCAGAAAGTTCAACTCATTTGTAATGTCTCGTAGCATTTACATAGAACTGAGACAATTGCTGCTTCATTTTCGGCTGCTCAAAGTTTCTTTGATTTGTTTGACCGAACACCAACCATCGATAATGGCTCATCTGAAGGTCAACATTTGGTAAGTGAACTTTCACGTTACATATTATCAAGTCAGTTGTGGAGACTTAAAATATTGAACATAATTCTTCAAGGCTAGCTTTTGTGGTGAGATCGCGTTTTCTGACGTCCGTTTTTCGTATCCGTCTCGACCAGTTCCATGCATTCTCAATTCCGTTCAATTGATAATTAAACCTGGTGAGTGATACATACATTGAGACTTCATCTGCTATTCTTCTTTTGTTTGAGTTTCAGGTCAACGTGTAGCTCTTGTCGGTAAGTGTGAAAGTAGTCAAAAAGTATTCTTCTCTTGTTCGATGCTTCTTGGTGATAAAAGTATTCAAAATTGACGACAAGAAACCAATAGATTGATTATAACCTTGAATTGACTTTTTTTTGTCTGCTCACTCTTTCATGCAAAAAGAAACAATAAATCCGTTAGAGAAAGGAAAAATGAGTGAAGATAGTATACAATCAATGAGCATATTTAACCATTGTTCCCGGCATTCAACAATCGAAAACAAAAGTGCCACAATGCTCATTAACTCTTATGCATGTGGATTGTGTTATCGATATATTTAGGTTCATCGGGTTGTGGCAAATCAACCATTGTTCAGCTCTTGGAACGATTCTATGATGCCACATACGGTCAAATAGTAAGTATCTTTTACTTATAATAAATTATTTGCTAGAAGAACTTAGTCTTGCCCATATCAAGTGTCTAGATGGTGTAGATATTAGAAAGCTCAATATCCACTGGGTTCGCTCGTGTCTTGGTTTAGTCGGACAGGAACCTGTTTTATTCGACATGACGATTGCTGAAAATATTGCTTATGGTCAAGAGAACGTTTCACTCGAAGAAATCATGGATGCAGCTTGCAAAGCTAATATCAAAGAGTTTATTGACCAACTACCACAGGTAATTGATCGATCAATGAAATGATTAAAAGCATATTTTCAGCTGTAATGCGAATAGGGATATGATACCAGAATCGGCATCATGGGAAGTCAGCTGTCTGGTGGACAAAAACAACGTATCGCCATTGCACGTGCACTCCTTCGCCGACCTAAAGTACTGCTACTCGACGAAGCAACAAGTGCGATGGATTCACAAAATAAACAGGTTTGATTGTCTGCTAATAATAAATAAGAAAGATCAATGTTATCGTTAGATCGTGCAACAAGTGCTTGAGCAAGCACAAATGGAAGATCCTTGTCGCACATCGTTAATAATTGCTCATCGAATGTCAACTATTCGCTCATGTCATGTGATCTTTGTACTTGACAAAGGACATATAGTGGAACATGGCACTCATGAAGACTTGATCCAGCAACGTGGAGTTTATTATCGATTAGTTGTTCAGAGTAATTCATAAAAATAAAGTCTCATAATATTGAAGAAAGAAAGATACATTTTAATGTACACTGTAAAATACTCATAAAAAATAATTAATCAAACATGTATGGCTGTAGTATGGTGTCGGTGTGAATATCTACTTAATATACAGCCACATCGACAACCAATATATTGACCTTTTCGAAAAACATGTAAGGCAAGCTGTTGTAGTTATTTAAAATCTAACCCTTCAATAATCTGTTAATCCAGTTGCCTTCAGGTGGTACATAATCCGAGCCAAAATAATATGCATGATTAAGAAAATATATACTGCTTTCAAGTTATTTATAATCTATTTTAACGCCAAATAGCAAAGACATATGCTTTTTTCTGATAGTCTACAACGTTCTTTTTTTTTCTGTCTGATCTCTTTTATTGTTGCTGTCTAACCTGATCGTCTTAATCGAAAACTTTATTTTTGAATGATTCTATTCCTTTAATTGCAAAACTGTCGTCTATTTTTTCTATAGACTAATCTTCGAGTACTTTGTGAAAATGTTAATGAAAGCTGCAAGTCACCTGGAAAAAGTGTATTTTTGTTAAAAAATGATTTAGAACTAACCATATAGAGCGAAGCATTTTACTCAATTCCGCCACCACCCATTTCGATTTCTGATTTCATTCAGTTTTAGTCTTTGTTGTATACAAACAAAAGTTTGCTAAAGTGAAAATGTTGTAAAAAATTGAGATGTTAACAAATTATTGAAACGAATTCGATTTTGATTTCATACTGAAATCTGAACAGATTTTGTCTCAATGCTTAGGACGTAAATGATCCTGATGAGTCTGAAGCTGAACCCATGCGCGGAGGCGTACTATATCGAGATCACAACAAGATTGTTGAACTCTAATAAAAAAAAACAGAAGACTTTGACAGCATCGAAGAATATGCTGATATTCAATTAAAGAAATGACGATTCAACTCCTATCAGTAATGTATACATTTTTTTTCTATCCATGTTTTGTAAACTAATTTGAGCATCTTTTATAGATTTAAACATATTATGTTGTAATTTAGCATATTATTGTATAGATTATGCTAGTCTAAATATCAAATCATTCTCATTTGCATGCATCACTATATGAATTTGAATTAATTTCCCAGAACATTATTTTATTCAACATTGCAAACATTTGTGGATGAGTAAAGAATGCTGATGATCCAAATAATCATTAATAACACAAAACTACACGACAAATTGTTTATTTTTAAAACAAAAACGGAAAACTCAGTAGTTATGGTGTCACCCTTTTCAAATATTCAAGACTTTTCTTCAAGACTTGAATTAATTCAGTGCGATAGATAGTTCCACTGAGTATATAAGCAAAAAGAGATGTTCCATAAGCAAGACTCATCCAAGACACAGAGAGACGATAACCAAAACTCAATATGCCTGTCAGCTGAATAAGTTTGAAAAAAATGAGCAGACGAAAAATAGCATACGGGCCGAAGAATATTATACTGATCAATACTTGTGCTAAGAGCATGCGGATGAGTTGACCTTCTGTACGTCGTCTACTATTTTGCTGTTGTTGAAGTTGTTGACTTGTTGTTGTTCTCTGTCTTGTAACGCTTGTTATAGCCATTGGTCGAATTCGGGTGATATGAACATTTTTAATAGTCATAAATCCAAATAAAAGATTAAAAATATGTGGAATTACATAAAAAGTGATTATAAAGACAATTTGATCGACTATACTGGCTGTCCATATGCATTGACCTTGAACAACATTATATGTAAATAGAACTTCCATACGGTAGCTAGCGACGATTATGTATAGTGTACAGATGGCTCGACGTGCTATTTTGACTTTAATCCAACGGCGAATAAATTCGCTTGTTGCACTCGCACACCAACGATCAATAGATGCCAATACAAGCATGTAAACACTGCTGACAGCTGTCACAGAGGAAAGATAAGCATAGATTCGACATTCTGGTAATGATCTTGTCGCTAAATTCATTGGAAAAACTGTATTGATCCAATCAACGATGAGAACAACAATGGTATAAAGAATATTGGACGAAGATTGAGCAATAAAGTAATGAGTGCATGAGTGTTGAAGTAACATACGACGACATAAAATGATGAGATTCAGAGAATTAGTTACGAGAGCAAGAGTAAATAAAAAAGGAAGAGCAATCAGTGTGTAGCGAATGTTCAAAGTTAGATAAGCATCGTTAGCAACAATTGGCAGTGTTGACGAGTTATTCATCTTTTTTCCGAAATCAAAATTTTAAAAAATTGTTGTGACCTCCGTATAAATAGCTGTCTTATTTTAATAATTCTTTTCAATTTACAATGACTTCTTTTTTGTTGGCAAGATGAGTATAAGCTGTTGCTCTACGATTTTCTCTAAGTAAGGATTCATCTGGTGTTTTTAATTATTCATTGAAGCGCATAAGCTTACTAATCCAAAAGAAAACAGAATTTTTCTTCGCAATCATTTTTTGATTTTATATTCTGCTCCTACTAATTCCGTCTTAGTCTTATCAATGAAACAAGAGAAAAATTTTGAAAAAAACCGTGAGATGAATGTTTGTCGTTTATTAAAAACTGTATCTTATTGATTTTGCTTGTGTTAGATGAATAATCTACTGTCAAACACAATTTGGTTACTTTTCGTATTATAAATGTTACTAGATTACTATAGAAAACAATAGCGAGCAACCTAAACTAATAAAAATGGTCAAGGATTAAATATTTTTAGCATATACTTGCTCAAAATTTTCAAATCATTCTGTACGAGTTTAGTCGTTCATTTAGCTGACCAATTCATACTTGTTAATATTGTCTATTCCCTGGTTACAGATATTCTCATTCTTCTCTCATAATGACAACTGATTTTGAAAATAACTATGATGTTTGACTAATATCTTCTGATGCTTCTACTTTTATGTCACTGTACTCATTTAAGCGCACTTAGCTAAAATATCATGAAGACATTCAAATTTTTCATTTTAAAGGTATATATGGAACACCCTGTATAATTAAAATGCATTGCAACAAGTTACTCGGGAAAAAATGATCGAGCATTGACTAAACATGCTTGAAAAGAAGAAAATTGATTTCTTTAAAAAAAATTTGTTATATACAGTTCTATAAAGTGTTTTCTTTATAAATTTGCAAACGAAAGATAGAATGAGTTAAATATTTTTGGAGTTAAAAATCTTTGATAATGCGGTTTTATTTGAAACAAATACGATATAGATCAAAATCTTCAAAAGCATGACCTTGTTTATCCATGTTCGACATTCTTACAGACTGTCTCTTATCAATATTAGTTATATTTACATAAATAAAACATTAAATATGAATATAATTTTCATTTAACCAATCATTAATAAAAAACGATTTTCTCACTTATGTATAGCGTGTGACACAGCAAAAAACAAACAAAAAAAAAATGAGTTTGTTAACAGTTCATACTAGATATAATTTTGATAAGATGAATTCTTTTAATAAGTTATGAAAATCAACAATTCTAATAAAGTAAAAATGAAGTTCAAAGCATCATACACAAATCGAAAATATTTTATTACTGATTTGTTTTTAATCATTAGATAAGATTACATATGATATATTTTGAATCAGTTATACTAACTCTTTTTTTTTATCAGCTTCAAATATTGACAAGGAAAATAAGACTCGAATGAAACACTGGTTGCATACAAAAAAAACGATTTTAGCTAAGTGTGATAGGTAAGACGATAGATCTTTATGGATTTTCAAGTACAATAGTGCTGATATTGCAGCTAGTCTGACTTTTAAATGACATTCTTGCAAGATCATGTTGAAATATGTTGACTCATCGCTTATGCAAATCTGCTTGCTTTTTCTGAAATAGCCCATAGTAATATAACTTTTTGACCACAACCGAAAAGTAATTTCTGATTAGCAGATTAATTTATCAAAGACGTTTACGAAGATATAACAGTAGAAAACGATATTGTTAAAATATTACTTGTTGACAAATCGAATGGATAGACATCATCAAGTATTAGCTTTTCAATATAGCATTCGATTTGTTGTTTTTCTCTATCTTGAAGGCATAAATATATGAGTGGAAAAAATGATTGCTTGAAATATTATTCTTCTCTAATAGTTGATTGAACATCAAGAATATTGAACAAGTTACTAGCGTCCAAAGAGCATGCCAACCTTACAATATCAGTAAATATGTTCAACAATGAAACTGTTTATACTCTAAGTTAAATAAATTGACCATGTTCGTGTAAAGTGATCAGCCTGATTGAGAAACTAACAAAATTAACATATAAACTGTCTATGGCATGTACGGATCAACATATTTGAATTTCAAGATATTTATAGTATATCTAGTGTACCTGCAACTCAAAGTTTCAGCATTCATTTGTTGCATTATGGTTGCATAGAGCTTATTAAGTTACATAAGAAAAAATATGGTGTATATCAAAAAGAAATTTTACGAAAAAAGTCCAAAAATATCATGATTTTTAAATATGTATAAGAAAAGAATAAATCTAAAATCTTTACTCATGTAAAATTAGTTTTTAATACTTAAATCCCAATTTTTCTTATGTGACTCGACGAGTTCAATTCGAACATGAAGAAAACAAGTGTGGAAGTATAGAAGGACATGTATAGATGTAAATTGGAGCTCAGAGAATAGAAACACTCCACACCTACCATCCAGCCATTTCTTGTATAGCCACAGCCTACCATCCCACAAGGATGTTTAATCACTATTTTGCACTTGCACAAAATTGATTCCACTTGATAGAGCATGCTGCTTCAAGTACAGATGCAGATTTTCAAATATATTGAAGAATTTCTTACTAAACTACTAGGATCTTTCGAGCAATTTTATAACAGATAATTCCAACATTTATCTACAAATGGAATAGGAAATTATGCTGCCAATAGATTTACTCTAAAAATGGATAGGATATGGCTCAAAAGTTTTTTTCTAAATAAGAACCAGTTGATGACGAAAGCTAAAATTTGATAGTTTTCATTGAACATAATCAGTCGTGACTTTCGTGAAATGGCTCGTATAATTTGTACAATGATTAAATGATCATTAAATATGAATGCTATTAATCAACTATATACTGAAACTGTTTCTTAAGTCATATTTATTGTGTTATGTATTATAACTTATCGAAATATACGAGATAAATATTAGAAAACAATTTATGACAAGTTATGATGTTACATAATTATTGGATTGTTTTAATAACATAAATTAATATCAATGGAATAGGTGGCAAAACATCGAAAGTCAGAACGTCGAAATGCAAAATATCGAAAATAATTTTTTTCGAAAGTCTTAATAACAAAGTAGAAGCCACAGATTTTGCCCTTACCCACACTATCGGACTGTGCTCTTATCGTTCTTTAGTGATTGGTTTATGAAACGCTTGAGCAAGACCCGGATATTGTGCCTACAAAGTTTGTAATTTTCGATATTTTGCTTTTTGACGTTTTCACTTTCGATGTTTTGCCACTTTCCCATATCAATGTGAGTTAACAAAAATACATTTTGCATAATAGGTGATTTTTAACTTAATAGAATAGTATGGTGCGTGTTCCTTCTCAAAAATAGTAATTAAGACATTTAGACGGGCCGATAAAGAATCCTCTACCGAGTTGGATCAACCAATTGTTTATCATTACCGGTTATAACTGTCTTTTGGTTTTAGTCTACAGGCAACTGTAGAGTGTTGAAAATTCAAAAGAATTTTAAATTTAAGATAGATACATATGTATATAGGTTAAAATTATATTAGCAAAATAATTGTTATAAAACGGTAACAATATTCAAATATGTAGTTAAGAATTTATCTCAACTATTCTTTCAAAAACCTACATGTTTGAAATATGATTTTTGTCTCTATGGATACACTCAATTCAAAAAATCGAACGCGTAGAAATGCACATGATAATCTATTCATAACACGTTCGACACATGGCACGTTTTTTAAACACATAAATATATGCATTCTGTGCAATTTTATATTCGCTAGATCTTTAACAGAGTATTAAGAAGTCTTGTTCGACACTTTTCTAACTTATGTATGGATATGGGTACAAATGAACTGTTCTATGACGCATGAATGTTTCTTTTTTTGCCAGAACTAAGTCAGTTGGAGCGAGACATTATATCTTTCGAGTGCAATTTACATAATCAAATTTGAAAATATTTTGAATTGCAACATAAAATATTAACCTGATTATTATTGCACATCTAATTTTTCAAATAATAGAATTAGAAATATATAATTATAAAACAATGATATATGCTAATATCTCTCTATGAAAACTGATTCAATCATATACCCAATATCTCTATTCACAATAGAAGCAAAAATAAGCCATTTCATGACAACCGCTTACTATTTGCTTCGTACTGAGACTTCTTTATGTTGTTGAAACATGCTAATTTTTTCTGAACGAGATGACACTAAGTGTTTCTGGATAAAAAGGTTGAGTGTATTTTTTTTTGTTTAAAGCTGAGCTCCAGTTTTTGTTTTATCATTGAAAATAGAAATGGAACGCTTGACAGATTGTCGTCATTTAACTGTACAATGAGCGGTACCCCATTTGGTTATTTTTGAAATTGTTGTTTTTGTTTTTCTCTTCGTGTTCTAGATTCAATTGACTTTTTTGTTAAACGTAATGTTGACGACTGATTCATTTTTGATACGATGATGAATATCTGTTAGTCACTCATGCTACAATTAATTTACTTATTGAATAAATCGAATAGAACTTTGATAAGTCTTGCTGTCGCCAATAGTTAAACCATTATCCTCATTTGTGGTCTAGTTCATTAGCTGGCATCAAAAAGAACGCGTGTATATAACTCAAAGAAAGCAATAGAAAATGAAATCTATGTTAGCTACTCAATAACGAAGATATGTGTTATGCATAAAATGAAATATTTTTGAAGTACTTAGAAAGTATGACAACTAGTTGAAAGACTGAATGCTTAGAGAAAAGTATTATTTTGTATTTTAGGTATGGTTTGATTTATCAATGGCATGAATGTTAATTTTGGATTTGATACGATCATTAAGCATATGTCTTCATTAATGTTTGATAGATTGTTGACATTGTTTGATGGTTGTCTTTTTTATTTTGTCGACTTTAATTGAAAAGATTTTGACAAGAGTGATCATGGAGATACTGATCATAAAATGTGGTATGACCCTATATAGAACATTTGTCTCGTTCATAACCCAATGAATAAGATGATGAATGTAGTTCAGTATCTAAGTCATCAACAACTTTGACTTTCAGATTACTGCCAACATAACTTATTTTAGCATCACAATAATTGATAGTTTCATCAATGAATATGGTCATATGAATATGAGTATGTTGCCTGTTGATTATATTTAATATATGACGAAGATTATTTTCTCGTTCGTTCCATGTCATGAACATTTCATCACGTAATCTATTATGTAATCGAGGGTGGACATAGGTGTATAGGGCTTTTGGTGAATGTTGATGCTTGAGGGCTAATGGAAGATTCCCACCAAAACATTCTCAATTTCACACTCACACCTGACTACAGTTTCAGACGTAGTGAGTAGAAGCAGACAATAGCATTGGACTTGTAAGTCAGAACACAGAAAAATGATGATTTGCTTCCATCTATCAAAATGAAAAGCATCTTAGTTTTGCACGATCGATAATGCACAGTTAATCTATTTGTCAGGACGAATATTCCATTTGTATGTATTCGATGGTACATTTCAGAGAAGAAGAAAAGATAATTGAAAATTCATATTCAAAACACAGAAAAAAAAAACAATTATTAATTTCTTTCATGAAATAGAATGTTCATGCAAAACCAACATAGTAAATGAAGCGAACACGAGTATGACGATTTAGTATATAGAGTTTGACCAAATCCAAAGACACCCGAACTGACGTTATATTTCGTCATTTGATAAAGTTTCCTTGAAGATGTCATTTTTCCCAGCATCAGTAGAGACAAACCAAATATTGCCGAAAGCGTGCCGAATCGGTCCTTTGGAACCCATCATCTTCGATTGAAGTACTTCTCGAAATAGATTGGCAATATCATGAACATCGTTTCCAAATGCACCTGTGCCTATTGGTCCAAGCAAGAGATAAGTATTCGAACCGTCACCCTTTGTATTGGCTACGGCCGCCGCGATGAATGCGCGAAACTTGGTCAAAGTCTTTTCTTTCCACTAAAATAATCAAAATACATTTGATAATTCTTTTCATCTGCGACATATCAATTCTGTCATTGACATGCAAGTAGAACAATAGACAAGCACATCATGTCATTTCTCAATGGAACAGATTTAGTTCGAATCTAGTTCTTCTAACTAGTATTTGTAGAAGAAACTTTCATTAAAAATATTCCTTGTATGTGGTTAAGTTCATACTGATTCATTCATTTTACTTGGATGATAGCACAGACAAAGCTTTCCAAAAGTCTTAGCTAATACGAAAACTAGATAACAACTCAAATTTTTCTAAGAAAATTTGTCAAGAGCTCAGTCATTTAAGAGCGCTTACTTCTGTTTTATTCTTCGGATTGTCATAAAGTTCGGCTGCACCAAGGCAGTAACACGTAGCTACCATCATATCGGCTAGGCGTCGCTCTTGTGTATCTTGCTTGAAGAAACAAATGTTGCGCACATAAGCTAGACCGAATTCTGGTATTGCATAACCACCACACATCCGTCCATATTTCAGATCGAGCAAAGATCGGTAAGCATCTGAATTGTATAGAATGATTTCTTCTTGAGTCCCTGAAACAGAAATAGTAGTTGGCAAAAATTCAGTATCGCTTCCAACAAGATGATAGAAAAGCCGAAATCAAGATCATTAGATGGATGCATTCAAGACATGAAAATACTGACATGCTCGTATCAAATAGCCACCTCCAGGTGATTGTTCATCCTAAAAAGTGTAAGAATCCAGCATTTTAACAATCGAAACAATAACTTACTGCGAAACTCAATAGAATAATTTGGGCATCTTTGGGTACGTCAAAAACAGTTTTTTCAATGCCCTTGGTGACATAAGTAATCTTGCCAGAGTGATTTCGCTGCCAAACAGGATGCTGACGAAGACCTTCGACAGCATCAGCATCTGATGGATCATGTGGTGGTTGTGAAGATTCGTCTTCTTGTGATCCAACTTTTGGACAGAGAATTTCCAGTTGTTCAGCATTCCAATACAATTTAAGTTCATCGGATCTAAAACCATTCAGGCGAGTACGAGTCATGTAAACTCGGGATCGTTCGATATCAGGATGTGACTGAAAGAAATAATAGTGATCATGAATAGAATCCTATAAAATTTCAGCACTCATGCTTTTGGGCAAATGGACAAGAACTTAATCATTTGATGACCTCTGCTATTTGTTTTCAAGAGAACTATTGTACAGAGCAGTGATCTGCAAATTGTAGAATTCTGTTAATGAGATTCTATGAAAGAGCCAATCTCCATTCTCCGTTTGGATTAATCTTAGTAGTATCAGAGGCCGTCCGAGACAATATTCAATGCTATATTTAACAAGTGGAATACAGAAACAGCACTGAATTCTATGGCTACCATTTAAGTGGTGAGTAGAATAAATGAAATGGTCAGTAAAATAAATGAATGATCAGTAAAAAATGAATGATCAGTAAATTGAATGAATGATCAGTAAAATATTTAAACGGTCAGTTATTGAAATCTTTAGGTTTNATATTTTGGAAACTTGAAAAAAATGAGTCATACTGTAGTTTTTGCAAGGTATAAACAGTTCTCATCCGGCTGATATCAGTTCTTTATTAATTGTATTCTTTTCTATTAATTTATCGTTAACTATATATAACTTTTTGCATCAGCGAGCATTGATTAGGTTAAGATTTCCCGCGAAACCGTGGTTTTTGACCCCAAATCCCTTTTTCTTGTCCTTAAAATAACATCTCAGCGACAAATTAAGGCAATATTCATAATCAGCGCGTAAAACTGCGTCGAATGGTGTGTCGCACCCTACATTTTCGAAAAAAAAATTTTTTTCGAAAAATTTGCCTGGGCTCCCCCACAGGTAATTTTTACGGAAATTTTTTTCCAAAAAAATGGTTTATTTTGGTACAGATGATTTTTCAAGTAGTATATAGTCACTTCTGAACAATAAAAGCTCGTTTTCGAGTATGAAACTTACATGACCGCCTACTGTACGGAAGTTACCCACTGTGTGTCTCTAAGCGTGATATACTGACAAAGTGATTCTTTCGCCCATAAATAGATCGTAGTGAGACTAGAAGAAATCGAAAAGGGTTTGTCCTCGAGTGCTATCCTTCTCGAATTACAACTGTTTTTCTGTATCTTCTTCTTTAGGCAAAACGTATATAAAAAATCCATATTATGAAATTTTGCCTATAGATAGGTCTTATGATAACTAGAATGTCCTGAAAATTTCAGTCCGAAAAAATGTTTTCTTGAAATATTGGATATCAAAAAGCTATATGTGCCAAGGAAAATTCAAAACATCAGACGCCTTCAATATATAATATCTCAAGAGAGAAATATTCTTTTGAGGTGAAATTTTCTGCACATTCTAATGAACATAGGATCTATCTATAAGCAAAGCTTCATAATTGAATTCTTTCATATATGCCTTGCATGAAGCAGAAAATACAAGAAATCGATCGTAACTCAAGAAGGACAGCATATGAGTACGAACCCTTTTTGAATTTCTTCTAGTCTCAGTGGAACCAACTTGTGAGTAAAAAATTGACGTAACCGACGCGTCACACTTGGAGACTTTCCCTTGCTAAAGTCAAACTTCTGTGGCGTTTTCATAAAGCTATCAATGTTTTTATGAAGCTCACTTGCGGATATTTCATCGATCAATTGACATTGTTGAATACTACATAAAACCTTGCAGTGGCACAGCCTCTTTCGAACAATGAAAGACGCAGTTCATTATATTGTTCCTAGCCAAAGTTATTCGCAAACAAAGACTAAATTGTGAATTATTCTATATTAATTTATTCAAATAATTTAGTCTTATTGCACTTACTGTCTCTGTCTATCGAGCAGCAACATGTAATAATCTTGATAATGCAATTTATCTTCTTAATAGTGGTAAAATTTTAACACTTGTAGAAAGTTTTGTTCGACACATGAATGTAAGTAGACAAAGTTTTTAATTGAATCTTATCCAAAAATTAAAAAAACAAACAATATTTTTAGGGTTTAAAAAGTGATGTTTTAATAATAAATAATGATCAAAGTGAAAGCGAAAAATTAGCTCAAATTGATTTAGTGACAAATTTAGCTAAAACACTTACTGATTTACTTTTAATGTATAATTCAATAGCAAAAGAAATACGAAATCGTGATAATGAAAATAAAGAAGATAAATTAACAATGAGTCGTCTAACAGATTTAATTAGGTAAAATAGAAAAAAAAAGAAGATATTTCGATCCTATTAAAGGCTATCTATCATTTAGTTATATGGCTAATGTTGGTGTTCTTGATCGTATAGCATCTTTTTTTCGTACGGCACGTGCGATTGTTAATACAACAAAATTATGTATACCAGATATGATTATTCATTGTTTGAATCTTTTACAACAAATGATTGATTTTTCAAAACCAAAGTAAATTGTTTTATATTTATTTAGAAAGTAAAATATGATTTTGTTGACTAGATCCTATGTACACCTATTTGATCAATCATCAAAAAAATCCATTAATGATCCAGCTCAAGTCTTAAGTATAATGAAATCAACAAATTTTTGTGAAATTCTTTCATTACTTTATGGTATTCTTATACATGAAACTGATAATAATAATCAAATTATTACTGAAAATAATAATAATAATAATAATAATAATATTAATAATAACAATAATAATAATACGATCACTTTACATGAAAAAACAGTTACTATTGTAATTAACTCGATGATATTATTAAATACAATAGCGACATTAGATCTTGACGCATTTCAAGTCAGTAAATTCAAAATGCATAATATTTTAATTCAATTGATTTTTAGGAGATGCTCTGCCTCACACTCATTTTAGAATTTATATATTACCATAAAAGTCAAAAAGCTTGGAGAAGATGGAGCATTTTCGTTGTTTTTGAAAAATGAGCTTTTTGATAAAAACAGTTGAGAGTCGAGCTGAAACTTTATTCGAGTTATACTAGAAAATGTTTCGGGTGCCTAGGTTTCTTTGTTGTAAAATATGATGTACTGCTGAGTCTTGCCAAGGTTTTCAAGAAAAAGCTCATGCATTTGTGAGAGTATGCTCAGTATTTTAGTCTTTTTATTCGAATGGAAAAACATAGAAAGGAATTGATAAACAGCAGGCATATAAAACAGTGTCTGGTATCTGTAAAAAATAATTTTTATCTTTGATAATCTCAATCTCTTATAGAAAGAGACATCTGGGGATTCTAAGTCTATGACATATTTTGCTCTACTCATCAAGATCTATCTGCCTTGGAAGTTTCAAAATTATCTGATGAGTTGTCCTCCGAAAGTTTCGCTTTTTTTGATTATTTTTGGTTCTCGAAGACTATGCGTCCACAATCAGACTAATATTTTCACTACAGATAGAGCATCTGGAATAAGAAGCCATTCGAGTTAAGATTCTGATTTTCTTTAGAACTGTCTTCTCTCATGTTACGATCCCTCTCTAACTTCATCTGATCGTGCTGGAATTTTTGTTAACCAGANATTCAATTGATTTTTAGGAGATGCTCTGCCTCACACTCATTTTAGAATTTATATATTACCATAAAAGTCAAAAAGCTTGGAGAAGATGGAGCATTTTCGTTGTTTTTGAAAAATGAGCTTTTTGCTAAAAACAGTTGAGAGTCGAGCTGAAACTTTATTCGAGTTATACTAGAAAGTGTTTTGGGTGCCTAGGTTTCTTTGTTTTAAAATATGATGTACTGCTGAGTCTTGCCAAGGTTTTCAAGAAAAAGCTCATGCATTTGTGAGAGTATGCTCAGTATTTTAGTCTTTTTATTCGAATGGAAAAACATAGAAAGAAATTGATAAACAGCAGGCATACAAAACAGTGTCTGGTATCTGTAAAAAATAATTTTTATCTTTGACAATCTCAATCTCTTATAGAAAGAGGCATCTGGGAATTCTAAGTCTGTGACACTTTTTGCTCTACTCATCAAGATCTATCTGCCTTGGAAATTTCAAAATTATCTGATGAGTTGTTCTCCGAAAGTTTCGTCTTTTTTGATCATTTTTTGGTTCTCGAAGACTATGCGTCCACAATCAGACTAATATTTTCACTACAGATAGAGCATCTGGAATAAGAAGGCATTCGATTCGAGTTAAGATTCTGATTTTCTTTAGAACTGTCTTCTCTCATGTTACGATCCCTCTCTAACTTCATCTGATCGTGCTGGAATTTTTGTTAACCAGAAATTGCGTGTATCTTTGAGAAGTTAAATCGACTGCTTTCATTTTTGACCTTCCTCTTGGAATTTGCAGGGCAGTATAAATTAATACATCTGATTTGGCTACGAGCCTGTAGGTATTTCTCACATAAAAAAAGGAAATCAGATATTTGAAAATGCTTACAATAATCTCTAAGATATAATGTTAAATACGATCCAACGAAAACTGAGATTTTCTCGAACATGTCTTCTTATTTTCTGATGCTCTATCAGCGGTCGGAACTTCTGTCTGATCGAATGTCCTCTACTCGAGAACTAGAAATGGCCAAAAGAAACAGGGTGGACAGTATTCTTAACTTATTCTATTATGAGCAATGTAAACAACACGCTTTTATCATAGCCATACCTTAGGATAGTAACAACGAAAATAGTCTAAAACTTTCACAATCAAATTTTCCGACTAAGATCTGTCTCGATGCAAAATTTAAAGTTGAAATTTGAAAATCAGTTTTCCTGGCACTTCTTAGAAAAAGAACTATGATATGGAGTCTAACAATACCATAGAATACAACATCCATGAAACAATAACTCGTGGAGCCGACTCGTATCAGAGTATTCATAGCCCGTTAGGGGGTCTACATGGTGTATATAGTCTCGACTGAAAAACGATAAATCACTGTGTAAGACTTTCCTCGTTAGGCCATTCTGTCATTTGAACCACAACCTATGGTTTTAATGTTCTAATCTTTTTATTGTCCTTTGCTCAGAAATCTAAGTAAAGAGAATTGCTGATATTATTAGTTTGAAGAAATGATTTCATTTGCATCATTTTTAGACTATTCTCGGTGAAGAAACTATTTCTCTACAACTTCGACATGTAGCTAATTATATTCTTGCTTATTGTAATCAAAAACAAACAACAAATAATGATAATTTATTACATGAAATTATTCTTCTTATTGGTTATTATTGTGTATTAAATCAAGATAATCAAGTAAATTAAGTTTTTTTTTTCATTGATAATATTTGACAAAAAAGAAAATTAAATTTTCTGTTTATTTTTGTTTTTTCTAGTGTCGTATGGCATTTGGTAATCGGCCAACTGTACTTCAACAATTATCGTGCTTATCATTTCGATATTTTGTTGAATCAAAATATATGGATATACTTTTTCCAACATTAATATCTTGTTCATATGATTGTGATACAACACGAGCAATACTTCAAACTGAAATGTCACTTGATCTTATTGCAAATTTTATTGAAGTAATTTCATTTTTAAAAATATTTATTCTATTGAATTTATTTTTATACAATAGACAAAATTGAGTGAAACAAAAACGATTAATGAAAATGATAATACATCAGTTATTTCTTCATTTCATATGCGATTTCCATATGATGAATTGAATAATGCATTGCAGTATTATCGACCAATATCAAAACGTATTGATAAAAATTATCATGATGAAGAAAAAGAAAATGAATCTCATCGAATTGATATTCAAACTTAAACTTAACAGAATAGTTTTTATTTTTTTTTCTGTCCAAATCTCATTTACGTATTTATTTTCTTGTCCAAATTTGTGTCTGTCACTTTTTTTTCAATCGGTCATCAAACGAATAGCTGACTCATTGTTATTCAATTCCATTTTTTTGTACAAACTAAATGTTTTGTATATGAAAAAAAAAGACATTTTCCGCGCTTGTTAAACATTTTTTTCTAATAAACTTTAAACATGATGCTTTGTATAGAAAATAAATAGTTCATTTTGATCGATCAATGCCTGTTTAGAAGTTTTTCTTTGAATAGTTAAATGTATTCATCATGGAGAAGTTGAATGTCATAATTGCAACAAAATTTTATTTATTTCGTTATACACGCTTGTTCTTCGCTTAGTATGTGAGTGAGGACTTTCTTTTAGGCATCCTTCTTCATCACAAATAAGATTGATTTGGTTCCAAAAAAGCATGAACCAATTCACAGTGAATAGTCTGGCAACAATATCGATTTTTCAGATCTGAAACTAAATTGTAACTAGCATTAAAACTGCTATCCCATTTAGTACATATAACTACCGAGAAACTATCACCGGTATGCTGATTGGTATAGTGGGCGCTATATGCGCAGTCTTTTATTTGAAATTGTTGTATCATGATGTATTTTAGCAAAATAGGTAAATATTTTTTTAAGTCTGTTAAAATATGTTGAGGACATAAAAAAAAAGAAATTCTTGAACCTAATTGCTCTATGTTTGAAACAGTCAACAAAATAAGTCTAATTATTTACTTTTTGAGCACTTTCATATTGACAAAAAAATATTTCAGCATTGGCATTTAGTCATATAAGAGACCTATTCTTTTACAGCAGAGCCACTTTTAGAGCTTGAAATGCAACATTTGTTTATATTAAAAGAATAAGTTTATGTATAACGAAGCTCAAACAAAATCTTTGAAAGAAGGTAGCATGTTCTTACCTTATGAACATCTGATTAATGTTTTCTATTATTTTCAGAAGAGGAAAATTAACTGATTAACTTGGACATGTCATGATATACACTATAATATTTTACATCACTGACTAATGGAAAGNGGCCAGGTACCGTGACCAGATGCCGTGACCAGGTACCATGACCAGATACCGTGACCGGGTACCCTAACTCGGCACCCTCACCAGGTACCCCGCACCCTCAGCTGAGGCCGGACATGCAGTGCCTCTTAAAGTAAATCTAAATCTAAAACTAAATCTATTTCTATCACTTATTTTCGAATTGATACTATGTAGCTGAGTGTCCATTTATATTCGAATTCGAATTAGGCAACTCATGTATTTTAGACATTGGAATCATTCTAGAACAACCAAACTTTGTGCTGGCTGATGACTGTCCATCTGCTCAATGATTATCTTGATAGATTACAAAAAATTAATAGGGATATTTTACAATCGTCACTGTCATCTCTGCTCATAATGGCACAACTGTTGTGAAATTGCTGAACGATCATGTTAGCCAGCGGATATAATATAAAATAATCATACTCTTAATTCTTTTGTTAAAAACGTGGAATAAACTACTTTGATGTGTTTATTAATAAGTGCTTTCGATGAAAACATAGACTACTAAATGTTTAAATAGTGATCATCAAATTTTCTTACTCTAATACACAGCTACTACAATAAGTCCTTTTATCCAATCAGACAAATATCGTTAAAAAAACGCGTTTTGGGGCGTAAAATGGTGCACTTTTTACAATTTCCAAAAAAATGAATTAATTTTAGTTCAAATAACGAGTTTCAAGTCGATGAACTGCGGAAACCGCTTTTTCCGAAAATAAAAATCGTTTTCTTACCTTTGCTTCAGCGTAAAAACGCTTCAAATTCACTCTTTTCGGACAGAGTAGATCGTAAACCCTTAAAGACTCAACGAAATCCTTATATATTTTTCAAAATTCACTGTATCATTTTCAAATGCAAATATAGCTTATTAAACGATCGATTCTTATAGTACATATCAATCTACTCTTGATAAGAGAATAATAAATCTTGTTGATGATAACTAATAGTAATGTATCGCTTCATGTATTATAATAAACGTTTCCTATAAAAGCATACATTAATCTACCTTCAATCGTAGAACAATATACCACCTGGTGACATGATATAATAATCTACTCTTCAACGTATTATAATAAACTCTTCTTCTAAAAGTGTACAATAATCTATCATTAGTTGTAGAATAAGAAACCCTTTTCTTAAGTCGTATAATAGTGTACCCCTGATTACAAAATAATAAACTTTTGAGGAGCGTTCGTAAATTAATCTATCCGTATCGATTTAATGATAAACCCTTTGAATAAAATAATGGAATAAAAAACCCTTAAAAAAGCATTTTATACCCTTTGTAAATTCAAATTCCCTTGCGATCAAAAACTCTTCAAGTCATATATCCTTCAAAGGTATGTATCATTTGCATAAACTCTTCAAAGGTTTACGAAGGAAAAAATTAAGGGCAAGCGTTGATTATTCGACGTTTTTTTTTACAGTGAAGATTCGATTCATCGCGAAGGGAGATTATTCTTTTGTTCCATTCTGTTGACATACCATCACGATGTTATCTCGCACTTAAGGGGACCCCCCGTTTCCCGAGCCAAAAAGTTTTTTTTTTTCGATTTTTTTTTCATATAGAGATGTATCAAGGTCCCCTCTATGTGTGCTATAAAAATCAGAACCATCCAAGGTCCGGAAGTCTCTGAAAAACCAGGTTTTTGGAGACATGTGCAAGAAAAAAAATTTTTTTTTTTAACATATAGTTATATTATGATATGGTATACCTATACTTACCTATAAGCGGAAAAAAAAATTTTTCTACAAGTTTTTTTTATTTTGCATTTTTCTCGAAACTAGTTTTTTGGGTATCAAAAACCAGTTTTCCCCTTTTTCTCCGCCATTTCAAGTCCGATCGGGCTGAAAATTTTTTTGGTGAGACTTCAAGTGATTTGGGTTGCCCGTTTTGTTTTTGGTACCTCTACTAATCAAGTTTGGCAGGCTTTGCAAAATTTTTAGGATCCAAAAAACCTAGAGATTTTGGTAAGTCTTCAGTATTTTGGTTCTTCAGCCTGAAGTATTTGGAATTTTTCAAAAAAAAAAAAATGCCCACCCCAATTGGGTCCATCTACCCGCAGTAAAAATTTCAGCTCAAACGGATGAAATCTGTGGATTTGCGGGGGGGACAACTTTTTTGCAAGTTTTTGACCTTGGGGTCTCTGGAAGTCGATGAAGATGACGTCTGGAAAATTTGTGTCTATGACAACTTTTGCTCTACTACTCGAGGTCTATCTACCCTGAAAGTTTCAGAAAGTTTCGTTCGGCCTTTTCTTAGAACCGCCGGAAAGAGGGGGTCCCCTTAACAGGCTAACTTTCTTTCCAGGGATATTATTTGAACTGTAAATGAAAATAAAGTGAGGAGTCTGTCAAATTAAGGTATACTTTTTCTGAACTTCATGAGTATAATCAATAATCTGTGTGATGAGCATTGGCTTTTTTACAGCTCGCAGTCTTAATGAGTATGAAGATAAAAGATTTTTCGGAAAATTCCGTATTTGTTTTCATGTTTTTCAAGACATAGAAGATGTGATTTTTCAACGTTTCTTTACGATATTGATCACTTCCAATCTTTGATTACTATTCCAATATGTTCAGCTACATTGAGATCGGATGAATTTCTGGGATAAATGTTCTTACATCAAAACTTGATACTGTTGTCCTGAATCAATTATTAAGGCATATTTGCTTTCATTCACGGTACTTTGTTATGAACAACATGACTTCACGCATGTCAATCACACTTTCTTCATTTTTCAGAAAATGAAACATATATTGACCAGTCCAGGATTCGCCTTTATCGTTGACCATCCAGTGCAATTTTTGGCGGTGAAAATGATAAAAATGCGAAGGCATACTCAATTTTTTACCATTTCATTATATTTTTGATCCTTTTCAATATCTTCTACACATTTGGCCCAAATTCTATCATGCTGATGATTTGGTTTGTGTACTAATCAAATGAAAAACTCATCGATCAGTGCGAAATATACAAACGCCTCTTGACTCCAGTCTTTTAACCAATTTAGAGCCATAAACGATCGGAAATTTGAGTTTCCATTTTCATCGACTTTTGAATAACATGAAAAGGCGTCAATGCTACTCTGTATCGATAATTATCGATTGTACTTCGGACAACGTACTATTTCTGTCTCTCGACGACTTGTGTTGCTACGACGGAGAAACTTTTTCTTTGTTTTCTACTTGTATTGGCAATGATGTTTTGACTCTCTTTTGATAATTTGAGAATAGAACCACACGCTGAATAATCTACGAAAAATTCATCATACGACTTTTTCCGCCACTGAAAAATAACTCGTATTGAGCGGTGGACCTTTTCTGAACCCCATTGTTGTGTGATAAATTCGGCACCAGCTTCACGAGCCTCACAAAAGTAGCGCACTTTATTCTGTCGTTTGATTCTTTGTTGTTCATAGTCACAAGTTATAGCCATCATGCGAGTTAAATCAATCAATTTTAATTTAACGAGGGTCTGAAATGACAAATGCATGCTTGTGAAATGTTAATAAAATCTGTCTAGAATCTGACTAGAATGAATGCAATGAACACGAAAACGGTTATATATACTACAGAGGGTAAAAACCTACTCAAATGTTCCAGAGAGAGAACATGTCAAAAGAATGAGACCATGACATTATGCACAAAAGGAATGTAAGAGAGAAAGCACTCTTATGTCCTGAACCAGATTGAAGATCATAGCAGTCGAAACAATTATCTTTCGCAAAATTTTAGACATTCACTTTATTCTCTATAGAGAATAATCCTCTATCGGACTATCAATTATGCCCATTAATCCCATTTTCGACAAGCTTTTATTTGGTATAAAATTCAATGTTGATATCATTTGTCGTTAGAGCTGTACAGTAGCGTGTAAGTTTTTTTTTGTATTATGCACTGTTGTCATTGATTCAGAATATTCATTGACCAATATCATAAATCACGTACATCCTGACATATCAGATTATGCAATGAAGGATGCATCTACACCTTTTGATGTGCCCTGTCACTTAGATCGACTAATATGGCGGGTATCATCAACCTTCACAAGCATTTCTTTTTTCGAATTCATATTTCTTAACATTTCTAAGAACAATTAGTTTGATAACTGCTCTCAATCACAATGAAATACGCGACATCTTTCTATCGATTACGCTTATTGGTTGACACAGAGAGAGCAATAAATGTTGTTGCCTTTCTCGGTGTCGTCAAGTTAAAGGAAAAAGTTTTTTCGTTCTCTTCTCGTTATTGATCGAAAGAAATGAGTCACTAGATTTGTTTTTGTTTTCTCCATATATATCCGATTGATTACACGACGGTGTTACTAACAAAAGGATGATTCCATCTTTCGTTCCCTTGCGCTCATCAGCCAAAAGAAGTGAACAAATGACTAGTGTTCTCTGTAGACTGTACATGAGTAAAGCATTAATTAGTCGCTTTCTCATTAATACTACGTTGGAGTCGAGCTCAACGGGTTCTATCTGAAAACATCATTTATTTTGTTGGAAAGTGCTCATAGGTAAATCACACTGTATTGGACGAGAACTCACTGTTACTTTCGATGTTTTTTGTCGATTATTGGCATGTGTATCTATGTTAGTGTGGTTGTTTTGGACAAGTGATCCATGGAATTATTCTCGAAGTTGAGCCTAAGGTATCCTATGTAAATCAAGTGCTGAATCTTTTAGCAGCAAGCTTAGAATTATTTATTTTTCTGTTGCAGTATTTCCAAAATGAACACAAATTCGTTACTTTTACACTTGCTCTTTTATTTATCATAACATGAAACAAAACATAATATCTCCTTTTTGTAGGTGTGAGTTGCAATGATACCGCTCTTGGTGAGATTTACAAGACGCACGGCGTGAAAATTTTGCAGTATTCTACATCTTTATTAGTTTGGAAAATAATTAAGTGAATAAATTCACATATCGTTGCCGTACTTTCGTACAAAGTATTTAGTAAGAATGTGAAAACAAGTACAAATAAGGATTAAATGTTAAAACAAGACGAATCTTAAATAAAATGCTTGAATATTTATTGTAGTAAAATAGAAAGAAAAAAGGCTAAAATGATCAATTAGGAATTAGAAGACTAGCTACTAATGAAACTTTCACCATGGATTAGTAATATAATATAAATTCGTTATACTGGATGAAAACTTCGTCTTCTGTAAATATTTAACATTATACGAAAGTAGTCTAGATCAATTAGAGTTTGTGTTCAATAAAGTTTTAAATACTGAAAAGTATTTTCAAAAGTAAATATGACACAAACACCTTTAAAGATTAGATTGCATTCATATAACAGCAAAAATTGATGAAGATAAGAAGTTCGGTGCCGGTATATGAAGAGATAAAATGATTGCATATAATATTTAAAGTCATTTGAAAAAGGTTTCATACAGTTTTTGACGACAAAGCGTCTACTAACACTGAGTTCACGTTCATCGTAAACTCAATTACTTTTTAATATAACATCACATTATTGATCCCATATCGTTTGAATAGTCACAGCAACATTACTATTCAAATTTAATACCTACTTTGAAGTTAGCTATTGCAAATATTGAATGGGTAACAATCACTAATGAACTGAATCTTCTCAACAAGCATCCTGTTCAGTTCATAGTTAACACTTTGAATTAAAACAAAATTTTGTAACATAATATACCAACTAAATGATAAATGAATACCAACAACAATATATCCTATCAAGTATATCATTAATCGTGAGACAAAACTTCTGTCGTTATCATGAAAAAACAAATCCTTGCAATTATGAATAAACCCAATAATAACTCTATTCAAATATATCAATCACTTGCAAGCAATGTTTGTGTGTTTCTCAAATAAAATATCTCATATACTAGGCGAACATTTTGGAGAAAATATCTATTCAAAAAATTTCCTTGGAAGAAAGTTTAGTACATCATTTATCCGTCCAATAATCCATACGTTACAAGTGACTAATTTCAACCAGCGCTGTTTCTTCAACTATGTGACTCATTGAGAATGCAATTTGATAGTCCTTCAAGAATTCTTAGATCACAAAGTCCATGAATCATTATAATTATAGCTTTGTTCAAATATACCAAATATTTTGAAGCAAAGAACATCTCTTGATCATGCCATCAAATATCATTGTACTAACGAATCGTTTCAATTGAGAACTTTCGGTTCATATATATAGTTCTTATGGCATCAAAAATATAGCAGTAGGTCTTACGATGAAGGTCTGCCAAAAAAACGCATAGCAATAACAATAGATCTGTTCGTTGTCGTACACGTCTAAGTCAAAAATTACCGACAAGCATCGTGTTAGAGGATCACACTACAAATGAATCATTCTAAGGAAGGTCGTCTTCGATTATTTTACATTCTAGCAATTGATGATATTAGAACACAAGATTAACCAGCGCATATCATATGAATTATGCTAAAGAAGATCGTGTTCAATTATTTTACTCTCTAGTAATCGATGACTGTAGAGCACAAAATTAAACAACGCATGGCATATGAATTCTTCTGACAAATGTTGTATTCAATTATTTTATTCTGGAGCAACCAATGACAGCAGAACATAGCATTCAACAACGTATGTCAAATGAATTATCATAATTAAGCCTAAGTTCATTTATTTTATTCAGGTGTGATCGCTGACATCAGAACATATTATTGAATAGCGCATGGTAGAGGAATTATTGTAACGAAGGTCGTATTCATTTATTTTATTTCGATGTGATCACTAACATCAGGAGATGTAATCAAACAGCGAATGGCATATGAATTATCTAAAACAAGCTCGAATTCATTTATTTTACTAATAAGTAGTCAGTGGTAGTGAAACTCATGATTGAAGGTTGCGTGAATGATGAATTATTGAGATAAGGATTATGTTCAGATAAATCCTGTAATGAAAACAACAGTTAGTTTGATTTACATCAATCATAATGTTTGAGATAATGAATTGTCAAGACAGTGATCAGATTCAAGTAGTTCATTGATTGTTCTCACAAACAAATACCGTGTTGCACACCAAGATATACATGAGAATGGAATAGCTTTACCTGCATCAATTGTAATGAACTGATCAAATACATTACTCAGTTTGAAATGAAGTATGATACTAGATCGCATGACTGATCATGAAACGTAGAGTGAATCATTCTAAGTATAAATCCATCCAACTATATTTTTATTTTGTTGGAAAAATTTCATAGTTCTTGATGCTCAAGTATACAACACCAAATGAATCGTTCTAAGTACAGTATCATTCAAGTGTAAAAATCAACTGAAAGCAAAGTGTGTTATTCGATCACATTAGCAAAAATTTCTTGACAAATGAATGGTTATAACCAGGGTTCATTCCAATATATCGCTCACTATGAAGTAAAATATGTCAATTGATCACGCCAGTAAACATATCTTGGCAAATAAATTATTATAACTAGAGGTTCGTTCAAGTATATCGCTCACTTCGAAGAGAAGTATGTCAGTCAATCATATCAACAAAGGTCTTTTGATAAATGAATCGTTATAACGAAGGTTCCATTCAAATATATCCTCCAATTCGAAGTGA